TCAAGATAAATTAATAAAAGTCACAAATAAATGCATGCAAATCAAGCCAAATAAACGATATGATTTCGCGTTATCACCAACCCAAGTGACTGCTAGGGCTTACGTGGCGTAGTGAAGATCAGGACGTGGTCTTCGCCCTAGTTCAACTGCTCCGTGAACTCCAGAAAGTGGGTTTGACCTGCTCTTTCGGAGGTGGGCAGTTGGTTGATGACGTGTCCCTGCGGAGGGGAGTACGTGGAGAACCTGTGGGAAGCACGCTCGCTCTGCCCGACAAGAAGAGGTGCGTTGCCCGCGGGGCTGATTCTGCCCGCGACGGGCAGGACGTGAACGACGCTGGGAAACAGTGTATCCCACTGCCGGGGAGGAAGTTATGCCCCGAGGAGGGCGTGTCTGGTCGGTGGAAGCCCGCGACTTGGCAAGAGGATGGATTTCCCTTCTGGAATATGTGCTCGGCATATTGGGCTGAACCTTGTTGTTCTAGCCCGGGGCCCAAGCCAAAACAATATGTTTTTTAAAAATTATTATTTTTTAAATCTAAAACAAACCACAAACAATAATGATAATAAGAAGAAAAAAAGTTAATTCTAATAAACTAGATTTATGATAATATAGTTTAAAAAAAGTAAATTATGATTACCTTCATAGTCAATAATCCCATCCTCAAGAAGTTTAGGTATGCTTACAACACAAGCCAAGCTAGTGGCAGAAGCTGGATGAAATAGAGCTCCTTTGATTCCCAATTTGTGTCCCACATCCAATGCCCAACCCATATTAAATGTAACAACAATACAATTTATGGTATTATTTTTATTAACATCTTCTATAAGCTTTGGAAGCCTACTAGGCATGGTGCTTTTAATTGATAACATAAGTTTACTTATATCACTTCTATCAACTTCATGTTCCAATCCATCTGGAAGTGTCACCACATTTATCTTGTCTAGCCCGGAGGCGGAACCACCGTTCTCGACCGGTTATGGCTGAACTCGGTGAGTAGAAATGTGACCTTGCAACCATGTTTGGCTAGAGCTTGGGAGAGTTGCATAAGAGGGTTGATGTGTCCTTGAACTGGAAATGGTATAACAAGAAAATGAGGCAGAGGCAAAGGCAAAGTACTCATTTTTGGAATTGTTAGAAAATTATTATATTATGGGAAGAATTGGTTGGTGAATGATTAATTTGAGCTTTGTGTTCATTTATAGTGGTGTGTGTGGAGATAATGTTAAACAGATCTACTTTGAAAAATCTATGTACAAATAAATTAAAGTCAGGTTGGTGGATTTTGAAATGTCAAATATTTAATTTTTCAATTAAAAAAATTCTAACTATTAAAGGTGATTTTGATTGCATCATGGCTTAGCAAAGTCTAATACTAGTTTGAAAAGTTGTTTTGATTTTGGTTTCGTCTTTCATTTTAATTTGATGTTGCGCCACTTAACTAGTTTATATTTTTATTTAAAGTTTTTAACCAAATAAATTGATAATTATTTGTAAATAAAGATATTCAAAATATATATTTTTTTATTGGGAGATGAAGTAGTAATAACTATTATAAACTTGAATTACCCCTCCATTCTAAGGTATTGGAATTGGCTGCTTTTAGAATGGTTATTGATTTGTCTCTCCTCTTAATTGCTATTGTTAACATTATTTGGATGGTTTGAAAAATGAGAAACATCAAATCAATGATGTGTCGCCTAATTTTGAAGATATTATGAACAAGAAGATGATAATTATTTGTAAATAAAGATATTCAAAATATATTTTTTTTATTGGGAGATGAAGTAGTAATAACTATTATAAACTTGAAAGCAAAAATAAATTCTTTAGAAGGATGTCTTTGCTAGGGCAAAGTTGTGAAGAATGTTTGAATCATTTGGAGGAGGATGATCAGAATGATCGAAGCATCAAGAAATTCAAATATCTAACAAATGTTGAAGAAGAAAGGGAGGGAAAAAAGGAGAATGTCGCTTACAAAGTCATTGTACGTCACAGGAGGAAAAGTGATGAAAATGCAATGAACATTAAGAGTGTCTAAGAAACAAGCGATCTATCTGAAACTAACAGAAATTTAGTGGACTTGTGAATTAAAGAAAGAAGATATAGAGAATATGAATATCTCAATGTGAGATATTGGATCGAACTCTAGAATGGTCGAAGTCTTTTCGTGAGTAATGCGTATTGTAGTCGAAGTTTGTTCTAACATGCATTAGTCAATATTGCTAGGTTTGTTGGCATGTTGAATTGGGCATTGCTTGTAAGCCCAATTGTTTAAGTTAGTTTGTACCCTAAGCTAACTTGTAATGGGTAATTGTTAAAAAGCCTATTATGTTAGTGTGTTAGTTTTCTTATAAATAGCATGTTAGTCTCTCAACTTGCATAAAGAAAAATAGTAAGATAAAATCCTAATTCAAGAGAGAGAGGTTATTTGTTATTCTTGTATACTTGTAATCTTGTTTGATAGATAAAGGAAAGAATAGCAGTTTATAACCAATCATTGTTGTTTCTTCTTGTTCTTCTTGGTTGTTTTTCCGTTAACACTAACCCTTGTGTGTCTCTTGATCATAAAGAAACCGTTTATATTTTATTTCAAGGCATCCTATTCACAACAAATTGGTGCGATGAGCGTGGAGAAGATGCCTTCAACAGAGTATGAGATTGAAAAGTTCACCGGAGTGAACAACTTCGGTCTGTGGCACTTGAAGATGAAAGCCCTACTGGTTCAGTAGGGTTGTTTGAAAGCGTTGAAGGGAGAGACAGACATGGACGATGCGTTAACGACAAAAGAAAAGACGGTCATGATTGAGAAAGCCCACAACACAATATTGTTGAGCCTTGGTAATAAGGTTCTTCGACAGATATCAAAGGAAACTACAGCATCGAGATTATGGATGAAACTTGAAAGTTTGTACATGACCAAATCTCTGGTGAATCGACTCTACCTGAAGTAAGCTTTGTATTCATTCATGATGAGTGAAGACAAAGTATTGGCTGAGCAGTTAGATATGTTCAACAAGCTGATTCTTGATCTTGAAAATATTGATGTGAAGATCGATGATGAAGATCAAACATTGTTGTTGTTGTGTGCTTTGCTCAGAACACATGATCACTTCAAAGAAACTCTCTTGTATGGAAGGGAATCCCTGAACTTTGAAGAAGTTCAATTAGCCTTGTATTTTAAGGACTTGAATGAACGAAAGAAGCATAAACCTTCGACAGTGGGCGGAGGTTTGGCCGTTAAGGGAAAATTCTTGCGAAAGAATGGTAAGTTCGACAAGAAGAAAGGTAAAAGTCAGCAGAAGTTTTATAGTGGCGAAACATCTGGTATTCGATGTTATCACTATAATAAGCTTTATGCAAAAATAAATTCAAAATATAAACTTGAATGCAAAAATAAATTCTTTAGAAGAATGTCTTTGCTAGGGCAAAGTTGTGAAGAATGTTTTAATCAATCGGAGGAGGATGATCAGAATGACCGGAGCATCAAGAAATTCAAATATCCAACAAATGCTCAAGAAGAAAGGGAGGGAAAAAAGGAGAATATCTCTTACAAAACCATTGTACATCATAGGAGAAAAAGTGATGAAAATGCAATGAACATTAAGAGTGTCCAAGAAACAAGTGATTTATCTGAAATTAACAAAAATTTAGGAGACTTGTGAATTAAAGAAAGAAGATATAGAGAATATGAATATTTGAGTTTAGACTTTCTGACAAATAGGAGATGAGAATAGCAGTTCCTTAGCATAAAGGTGTTATAGTGAAGATGGCTGGAAGAAGAATTTGATACAAAGCACTAGAGAACATGTATAAGGGTTAGGAATCACCTTTAAACATATTCCATGAGTCATTTTTATCTCACCTATCATTTTTTTTTGTGGTAGATTTGATTTTCAATTTTACAAAAAAAAAAACTGTGATTACGTATGATATTACGCATCTTTTGAATAGATACGCATTTATAAAGAACCAAGAAATGGGGCATGTCAGTAGAACACTATCTTATACATCTCATTTTAATATGTATACTTATAATTTTAACAATTTTTAAATACACTTTTTATATTTAGTGTTATCAAAAAATAATAACAGCCTTTTTTCAATACATATTATTTTTTAATGATTTTTAATAAAATTTATATAAATTTTATTTTTACTTTTATTAAATAATTAATTATTGAATATCAATAATTTATTTATATTAATACATTATAAAAAATACATTATAGATTTTAAATCAGTATTTAACTCAGGAAAAAGGATCATGCACTGACCGTATAATTTTTTTTACACAATCAACTAATAACGATCATGTATTCCACCAAATCATATTAAAAAATTTAAATTTATTATATAATATAAAAAAATAATATGAAAATCAGTGCATAATAATTAAACACTTTAACCGATCTATATTAACTAATTTGGTGGCATGAGAAATACACAGTGTCCAAATTCATCTAACAAAAAAGTAGTAAAATATTTTGAATAGTAAAGTCATTGTGTTATAATCACATAAATAGTGATCCCTAACCAAGCTAGACGCCTAATTGAAAATGAATGAATTATTTATTGAAGATTTTCAATTATAATTTTTGTTAGTTTTTTTATAAATAAGGGTTTACACTCTCTTTTTTTTATTCAATAAATTATCTTTATTAAAAAATATTAATTCATAAAATATATTTATTAATTAGTACAATTAATTAAATTTTAAAATAAAATTAAATAAATAAATAAGATCTCAAATTGATGTGAATTAAATAAACAAAATCTATGTGAACCCCCTTATGCAATTATCTCATCTTTTATCCAAACATGGTTGAAAGATCACTTTCCTCAACACAGATTACATCCACAAAAGAACCAACAACAACAATGAGAAAAACAGCCTTACAAATGAACCAACAACAATAAACTTTGTCACACTTCCAGATGGTTTGGACGCTGAAGATGATAGAAGTGACCACAAAAAGGTTATATTCTCAATAAAAAGAAACATGCCTTTGATGCTTCCAAAGGTGATCGAAGAAGTGAATGATTTGGATGTTGACAATAAGATTTCTTGTATTATTGTTACTTTTAATATGGGTTGGGCTTTGGAAGTTGGGCTCAAATTGGGAATTAAAGGTGTTCTTCTTTGGACTGCTTCTGCTACTTCCTTGGCTTGTTGTTATAGAATTCCTCAACTCATTCATGATGGAATTATTGATTCTCAAGGTATGAATTCTTTGGCAGTAATTCACTTTTGTTTGTGCTATCTTTCTACTTCAGTTTCTGTTTTTGCACATCTTGTATTTGGACCATGCTTTTAAACTGTGGTTGTTGATGAGTAATTTTAGTTGACAAGAGTTTGAAATACTCAATTAGAAACATTTAATGTTAAGATTTTTTATAAGTAAATTGAGTTTTAGGATTCTAAATTTTGAGTTTTAGACGAAAATACTTGAAGAAATTTGAGCTAAGTTGTCTGATGCGAGCAAACTTGTCTGATGCAGTTTTTAATGTAGAAGGATTCGTGATTTCACGTGGCAATTGCGGTCTGATGTGGTTACAGAGGCCATCACATCAGCAATACTACGGACGGATTTACAATTGTTGGCCGCAATTTAAAACCATGATTTAGACTAATCTTTTTAACATATTTTAACTTAAGAAAACTTATTTCTACACTGCTTTGTATTGGAATCAGAAATCTTTGAAGACAAGGTTCTGACACGGTGGAGTGTTTCCGATGCAGCGGAGCAAAATTAATATTTCGTACAAATGTGATGTCTTCTATACTTTCCTTTTGTCACTGCAGGATTTCCAACAAAAACACAAGAAATTCAACTCTCCCCAAATATGCCTATGATGAACATTACAAACTTTCCATGGAGAGCCCATGACAAAATCTTATTTGATCATATTTCACAAGAGATGTCAACCATGAAGTTAGGAGATTGGTGGCTTTGCAACACAACTCATAATCTAAAGCATGCAACATTTTCCATCTCACCAAAAATTCTGTCAATTGGTCCATTAATGTCAACAAATGAAAGCAACAAAAGTTCATTCTGGCAAGAAGACAACATGTTTAGCTTGGCTAGATCAACATCCACCTCGATCCGTCATCTATGTTTCCTTCGGTAGTTTGGCAGTTATGGACCAAAACCAATTTAACGAATTCGCCTTAGGACTTGACCTCGTGAACAAGCCTTTTCTTTGGATTGTTCGTCCAAGTAATGACAACAAGGTAAACTATGCATACCCAGATGAATTTGTTGGAACCAAAGGGAAGATTGTTGGTTGGGGACCGCAGAAGAAGATATTGAACCATCCGTCTGTAGCATGTTTCATTAGTCATTGTGGCTGGAATTCTACTATAGAAGGTGTTCATTGCGGTGTACCTTTCTTGTGTTGGTCATTTTACGGTGATCAATTTGTTAACAAGTCATATATTTGTGATGCGTGGAAGGTTGGACTTGAACTAGACAAAGATGAAAATGGTTTAACGTCAAGAGAAGAGATAAAGAAGAAGGTGGAGGAGTTGCTTGGAGATCAAGGAATACAAGAAAGGTCCTTGAAGCTTAAGGAATTGACATTGGATAACATAGTAGAAGAAGGCCACTCTTTAAGGAATCTCCAAAACTTCATCAATTGGGCTAAGTAGTAATAATAATTCAGTAATTGTGTTGGTTATTGTTGTAACATTGGATTTTTGTCTATGTTTTATTTCATTTCTTTTTTAGCATACACTAGAAGAACATTTTCATGACACTTTATTTGGATTCTAGTTCTAGTTGTAGTGATAACATATAAAGTTTTGGCAACGTGAAGAAACAATCATACTATAAGAACTCTGAATATGCTCAAAATATTCGGGTGAATACAAACCATATTGAAAAGATCCGTGTTGATAAGTGACATCAATCTGAAATATTTAAAATATGTGGAAGGAGAAATCAATTTTTCTAAAACAAAAATTCTAAAGTCTTGTGATTCACAAGTCATAACAAATTTATTTACAGATAAACTTCATATGTGCCACAACATAAGCTTTGACAAAAAGAATTCAATTTGTAATGCTAGTTGTGTTTGTGTTTATTCCACACACTACTATAATGTGCCTATGCTAGGAATGGAAATATTAAGGTGCCATAATTAACTTAAATAACTTTGTAATGAAGATTATAATGCACATCAACAGATGAGTTCATTTATTGACTATGTCTACTGAATTGGAATTAAATTATTGTCTCAACCACACTTGATAGTCTGATCCTTTGTCAACAAACTTCTGCCAGCTCCCTTCCAAACGGTTTTCCTTCGAGGGATTCCAATCAAACTGACCAAGCTTCATAACTAGCACATCGCCAACTTGAGCTACGTAGCCTTCATTGTTTGCATGGTATATCTTGATAGAGCTTCGACAATGGATCCCTGCCCGTCTTCGTGCCTCAATCAACTCGGTTATTACATCGTGGATGCCAAAATCATAGAAATGGTCATAAAATATAACAGGCTGCACAGAATTGAAACGTAAAGAGAGTTAAATATGAAACTTCCGCATCAAGAATGTATTAGAAGTTAATGTATTCAAAGCTTACAGTTCCAGGATGAGTCAAGATATATGCATATCCCTGCATGAGCTTATCTCGTGGGAACGGCCAGTGACCCTGAAAATAAAATCCATTTTCTTCATTCTCTAATCTTGCAAGGCAAGGTTGTATTGAAATTTAAATCTAGTAACAGTATATGCAATAATGCCATTGCATGGATTACAACTATTGAGGGAACAAGGACCGAGACTTCAGAATCAGTGGAAAGAATAGGAATTATTCATATTTGACAGAGAAAAAGAAACAGATTGCATACTTGTGTAGACCCTGTATCATGGTTCTCTAGGAACGTGACCGAGAAGGCCACCATCCCATAACTCCTGTTGGTTTCCCTTGATGGTCTATCATTCTCCAATATTCATTGTGCAGAGCAGAATGAAGTATCCCCTAGGAAAGTGTTAGCAACAGAATAACAATCTTTAGAATGCAGTAAGCAAGATCATATTAACATATTTTTTCTGTTTTAACTCCCCTATCTTCTCATGAAAATTTTATCACCAAAATAAAGTTTATGTCCGTATTCACGTCCAAATAAATAAACACGCGGTTTAGAAATGATTCTTAGAAGTGTATGTCCCTAAACTACCGTCTCTTAGAAAAATTGATGACTGAGTTGGACATCACCGGGATACTTCATCGATGTCTCTTAAAAGTACCTTGGTAGTTATATCAAATGCAGATGAAGTGCCGCCAGTAAGACAAATTGATGAAGTGCATTGGTCCAATTAACTATCCGTTGCCGATGAGCATCTATTTATAAATGATAGAAATAGCATGTAAGACAAACTAATAGAAAATGGATATGCTGGAAACGTTTGATTTTTTATTAGTAGAACAAAAATATAATAAAAAGCAATTTAGCACAGAATATCCGACTTAGTGTGGTAAGACTAGACGAGATAGGATTAGAAATGACAACATAAGGAAGAGGCTTGGGGTAATATTTATATTTGTTGGAATTATAATGGGAATTGGAAAGTGAATTTGAAAAGATTCATTTAGTATCACATTGGAGGGAATGGAAAATTAATTAATATAATTTTGTGGAAAACTAATTAATAATAATATTAATTAATTAAGAAAATAATTGGTCAGTATTGACTACATCCAATCCTCCCCTATTTTCTCCACTCTCACGATTTTCTCTCCACTCCCACGTTTTTCTCCCCACTTAGTTTCACTAGCTGCCTATAAATACATAGTAGAAGCTCAGTATTTGACATTTCGAATTTCACAAATTCACACGAATTTTGATTTCCTTCATCTCTCCCTTATTCTCTTCATCTACAAAAATTTCTTTTCTTATTTTTTCGACTGGCAATTTTTGCCAGATACTGCCACTAAGAAAGGTGTATTTCTAGAGCGATTTATCAGTGTGCAACTGATAATCGTAACATTTTGAACGGGCTGTTTTATCCCGGAGGCGTCGTCGTAAATTGACTGCTTTGCATTTTTTGGTAGTACAGCGAAACATCTTAAAGAAAGCGACCTAGTACGCGACTCGTCCCAATAATTTTCTTGTGCCAGAAAGCGACCTAGTACGCGACTCGTCCCAATAATTTTCTTGTGCCAAACTCAATTTTTCAAATCCGAAAACGACGTTTTTAATAACTGTCATGGCAACTGAGGAAATTATCGGTACTACTGCGGCCGCTTCGGTATCTGACAAACCTTTCAGGTTTGAGGGTTCCAATTTCAAACGTTGGCAAGCGAAGATGAATTAACTGAAAAAGGTTGCCCACGTTCGGACTGAGGATATCCCGGTTGTCCCTTCTGCATCAGCTGAACTACCTAAAGATAACTCACTTGCAGATTCAGACGGGACTTCCAAAACGCCTGACTCAGATGCTGCAAAAGCTAAGGCTGCAGCAAATGATCTACAGCTCCGAAAAGAAATCGCCTTATGGCACGAGAATGATTATCTGTGCAAAAATCACATTCTGAACAGCCTTGCTGATGATTTGTACGACTACTACAGTAGCTACAAAAGTGCTAAACAGGTATTGGAAGCTCTACAAAGAAAATATGATACTGAAGAAGCAGGTGCGAAGAAATATGCTGTCAGCCGCTACTTGAACTACAAGATGGTGGATGAGAAGTCGGTGGAAGCTCAAAGCCACGAAATTCAGAAGATTGCTCATGAGATTATTACAGAAGGTATGCCCCTCAATGAACAATTTCAAATTGCTGTAATTATTGACAAACTGCCCCCTGGTTGGAAAGATTTCAAAAATGTACTTCGTCACAAAACAAAAGAATTTTCAATCGAGAGTCTGATTACTCGCCTCCGAATTGAAGAGGAGGCTCGAAAACAAGATCAGAAAGAAGAAGTCTTAGTTGTGTCTAACAACAAAAAGAAATTCGGTGTGGTTCTGAAGCCTACTACTGGCAAACCTTTAAAGAATCAGAACCGCAATGCTATGAACCGAACCAAGAATGGGAATCCCTCTAGGGCCCCATCGGCTCCATTTGCTAGGCAACAGCCACCACCTCAAAGAAATGATGCTCCGGTTTTCTCTTGCTACAATTGTGGAAAATCGGGCCATATGGCAAAGAAATGTAGGAGCAGGCCTAAACCTGCAGCTGGCTCAAATGCTCAGGTTAACCTGACTGATGAGCAACTCATTGCCATGATCACTGAAATCAACATGGTTGGTGGATAGACACTGGCGCCACTCGTCATGTCTGCTATGATCGTGCTATGTTCAAGACATACATGAATGTTGAAGATAAGAAAGTGTTGTTGGGAGATGCTCACACCACTAATGTTGCTGGAATTGGAGATGTTGAGCTGAAGTTCACTTCAGGAAAGACTTTGATCTTGAAGGACGTCATGCATGTTCCTGAAATTAGGAAAAATCTTGTTTCTGGTTTTCTTTTGATTAAGGTTGGGTTTAGTCAAACTTTAGGGGCAGATTTGTACACCATTACTAAGAATGGTATTTTTGTTGGAAAAGGGTACGCCACAGATGGCATGTTTAAGTTGAATGTTGATTTGAATAAAATTTCTCCTTCTGTTTACTCTTTGTGTGACTTTAATATTTGGCATGGTAGACTTTGTCACGTTAATAAACGTATCATTTCTAATGCAAGCAACATAGGCCTAATCCCTAAACTAAATGTTAATGATTCCAATAAATGTTAATTTTGCAGTCAAGCTAAAATAACAAAAACCTCACACAAATCAATTATAAAAGAATCTGATCCCCTAGATCTTATACACTCTGATATATGTGAATTAGATGGAAGCTTAACTAGAAATAATAAACGTTATTTTATCACTTTTATTGACGATTGCTCTGATTATACATATGTATATCTAATGAAGAATAAAAGTGAAGCGCTTGACATGTTTAAGGTGTATGTAACTGAAATAGAGAATCAATTTAACAAGAAGATTAAGAGACTTCTCAGTGATAGGGGAACCGAATATGACTCTAGCTTGTTTAATGATTTTTATGCTGAACATGGTATTATACATGAAACGACTGCTCCATACTCTCCTGAAATGAATGGTAAAGCAGAAAGAAAGAATAGAACTCTTACAAAACTTGTAGTTGCAATCATGTTAAATTCTGGTGCTGCACCTCACTGGTGGGGGGAAATTTTATTGACTGTCTGCTATGTCCTGAATAAAGTTCCCAAGTCAAAAAGTAAGATCTCACCTTATGAGATATTAAAGAAAAGACAACCAAATTTGTCTTATTTGAGAACTTGGGGCTGTCTGGCTTATGTCAGAATTTCGGATACGAAACGAGTTAAACTCGCTAGTAGAGCCTATGAATGCGTATTCATTGGGTATGCAGCAAACAGTAAGGCATACAGGTTTTATGACCTAAATGCCAGAGTAATCATAGAATCAAACGATGTTGAATTCTATGAAGACAAATTTCCTTTCAAATCGAGAAATAGTGGGGGCACACAATCGAGTCACTTTTCTGTGATAAAAAGCACTGAAAGCAGCGACAATGTAGAAACAGAACTTCGAAGAAGTATAAGAGCAAGAGTTGCTAAAGACTATGGGCCCGATTATGCGACCTATCATATAGAAGAAGTTCCAATAAATCTTCAAGAAGCACTGTCATCTATGGATGCAGACTTATGGCAAGAAGCCATTAATGATGAGATAGACTCTCTAGAATCTAACAAGACCTGGCACTTAGTAGACTTACCCCCGGGTTGCAAACCAATTGGTTATAAATGGATTTTGAAAAAGAAACTAAAACCTGATGGAACGATTGAGAAATACAAGGCTCGCCTTGTAGCCAAGGGTTTTAGACAAAGAGAAAATATAGATTTCTTCGACACCTTTTCTCCGGTCACTAGAATTACATCCATTAGGGTACTCATTTCAATAGCAGCCATTTATAACTTAATAGTACACCAAATGGATGTTAAAACAGCTTTTTTAAACGGTGACTTAGAAGAAGAAATCTATATGGAACAACCAGAAGGGTTTGTAATCCAAGGACAAGAAAACAAGGTCTGTAAGTTAGATAAGTCTCTGTATGGACTAAAACAAGCCCCTAAACAATGGCATGAAAAGTTTGATAACTTAATGATAACTAATGGGTACAAAGTGAATGAAAGTGACAAGTGCGTTTATTACAAACTTGAGAATCGCATTTGTACTATCATATGTCTATATGTAGACGATCTACTTATATTTGGATCAAACATTCAGGCCATTAATGATATGAAATCATTGTTATGCAATAACTTTGATATGAAAGACCTCGGAGAAGCAAGCGTGATCCTGGGTATCAAGATCACGAGATCCGAACAAGGAATTTCTTTGGATCAATCTCACTATTTGGAGAAGATCTTAAAGAAATATAAATACTTTGATTGTAAACCTGCATGCACTCCGTATGATCCAAGTGTGAAACTGTTTAAGAACACTGGAGAAAGTGTCAAACAAGCAGAATATGCGAGCATCATTGGCAGTCTTAGGTGTGCCACTGATTGTACTAGACCCGACATTGCATATGTCGTAGGATTGTTGTGCAGATTTACAAGTAGGCCGAGTAACGAACATTGGCAAGCTATTGAGCGAGTAATGAGGTACCTTAAAAGGACTATGGACCTCGGCCTACACTATCAGAAATTTCCTGCTGTACTAGAAGGGTATAGTGATGCAGATTGGAACACCTTATCGGATGATTCCAAAGCTACTAGTGGTTATATATTTAGTATAGCCGGAGGAGCTGTATCTTGGAAATCAAAGAAACAGACCATTCTGGCACAGTCCACAATGGAGTCAGAGATGATAGCATTAGCTACAGCTAGTGAAGAAGCAAGTTGGTTAAGATACTTGCTAGCTGAGATTCCTTTATGGGAAAAACCTATACCAGCTGTGTTGATCCACTGCGATAGTACCGCGGCTATTGCAAAAGTTGAGAACTGCTATTATAATGGTAAAAGACGTCAAATTAAAAGAAAACATAGCACTGTTAGAGATTGTATATCTAAAGGAGCTGTGAGAGTGGATCATGTACGCACTGATGTAAACTTAGCAGATCCTTTGACGAAAGGATTAGCTAGAGAGAAAGTCCATAATACATCCAAAAAGATGGGACTAATGCCTATAAAGCAATTAGTTACTCATGATGGTAACCCGACCTAAATGACTAGAGATCCCAAGACTTAGGTTCAATGGGTAATAACAATTTGTGAGTAATAAGAAAATGATCATGCAAGTAAAGTATGAATCCTGAAGTAATGAGAGGATGAGATAATAGAAACTCTTAATGAGATCTATACTCTGTATGAGGGAGTACCTAGGCTACAGGAGTACTTTTGATAGATTCACCTATGTGACTGTGGAACTGAGGCCGGTTCCTATGGAATTTTGAGGCAGAATTCCTAGAGCATTCACTAAACCGGAATACACGTGCAGGGCCACTAAAGCACAGGCTACAAGAATACACCTTACGGAAAGGTTGTGTGCGGGTCTGATGTCCGAGATAGAGTTCAAGACAATAGTGTCACTCTTGTTGAATCAGAATCCTACTCGCTACGCTAAGGTTCAAGTCGTAGACACCTTTGCTTATGCACAATTTTAGAAACATCTGACGTACTTCTAAAATCTCTTTTAAATTCAAGTGGGGGAATGTTAGAATTATAATGGGAATTGGAAAGTGAATTTGAAAAGATTCATTTAGTCTCACATTGGAGGGAATGGAAAATTAATTAATATAATTATGTGGAAAATTAATTAATAATAATATTAATTAATTAAAAAAATAATTGGTCAGTATTGACTAGATCCAGTCCTCCCCTATTTTCTCCGCTCCCACGATTTTCTCCCCACTCCCACGTTTTTCTCCCCACTCAGTTTCACTAGCTGCCTATAAATACATAGTAGAAGCTTAGTATTTGACATTCCAGATTTCACAAATTCACACGAATTTTGATTTCCTTCATCTCTCTTTTATTCTCTTCATCTACAAAAATTTCTTGTTTTTTCGACTGACAATTTTCGTCAGATACTGTCACTGAGAAAGGTGTATTTCTAGAGCGATTTATCAGTGTGCAACTGATAATCGTAACATTTTGAACGGGCTGTTTTATCCTGGAGGCGTCGTCGTCAATTGACTGCTTTGCATATTTTGGCAGTACGGCGAAACGTCTTAAAGAAAGCGACCTAGTACGCGACTCGTCCCGATAATTTCCTTGTGCCAAACTCAATTTTTCAAATCCGAAAACAACAATATTAGAAAAGATTGCGGAAACTCAGCTTAGGTGTTTGGGCATGTAGAAAAGACCTGTAAATTTGGTCATAGGAATAGTAAATTAGATAGAATGTAGTAAAATCACCAAAGGCGGCGGAAATTAGATAAAAAAGGTAGTCAAATCATTAGAGGTGACAAAAGACTGGGAAAACTATAAGAGAAACTATTTGAATAATATCAAGTGTATATAATATCAAGTGTATACTTGGATGGGCGGTGAGTTTGGCAAAATCAATTAAACACCATGATTTTATTGAAGCTCTGAAGTGTGGTTTTTGTCAAAATTGCGGTGACTCACCGTGATTGTGTCAATCTCATCGTCAATCCAAACATGCAGAGTAAATAATAACCTTGATTGTAACACAAACTTCCTTGCTCATAAGCTAAACTGTCCCAATATTCTCCAATGGAAAATGCGGGATTTGATGCTTCAATATATTCTTTAACATAAGTGCCAGAGAAGCCCCTGTGGGAAGCAGATAAGGAGTTACCAAATTTTACATTAGAATTAGCTATGGAAAAAAAACAACAAGAATATCTTCCAACATTCCACATGATTAAATTTGAAACTAAATATCCATGGCATGCAAACATAGATCACGAGAACATTTCAGATGCTAGGGTCTTTTAAACATATTATCCATATGTTTGGAAAAGAATCACACCCACTCAACAACTTTAATATGAAATATGAGGACAAGGCTTCTCTATTAACAATTTCATTATTTAGCTTCAACATTATCAGAGTGCAACTTAAAAATTTTTTAAAGATTCTTTTAAGGAAGTTCACTTAAAGACTAATACTCTAGAGAAAAGTCTTCGGTTCTTCTTCTAAGAGTATGCTGACAACTTTTTGCGAGCTCTATTTTAGCATTTTCGAATGACTAGTACTTGTAACAGAACCACTTGACCTAAAGCTTAAGTGTTAAGAAAAGGACCAAACAATGGTTTTTACGACTTTAGCATGAAAAATATTACTTTACAAAGTCAAGCCGCCATCCATCAAACCCTATATCATTGCGAAGCCAGTTCAGCCATTCTTAATCTTTCCGCACAAAGTTCTGAGAGTGGTCAACATTTGGTGCAGCATGGAAGATATCCCCTACATATACCATTTAAAATAGTCTAGATAAGGAGAAACCTAAAATCATCAATGTCATAGGTAATAAAGCGTTGTATTTCTCCATACTGTGGAAAAGGGGTTCCACATTTATGTCTTCCAACTCGGGCAAACATGACACAGGAGCCAAAATAACAGATACTTGAGATTTTTCTTCACCTTCATTTGAGGATCACGTTAATCCGTGTCTATAAGGAATTGGTTAAGGAATAAAGACTTGGAAAGTATTTGTTGAAAAGCGCAGTATTTAATGCATAGGTAACTTTAGAAAATATTCCTTCTAACGAATACTTTCTACTTTGAATTCCTTAACCAATGCCTTCTGCATTAACTTTCATTTAATTGGGAATTTATTCATTTGAAAAGATGGGAACAACCTCAGAAAAGTCTCCAATGTAATCATTTATCAAAAGAACATGATTGAAATAGCATACCGCTTGTGAGAAATTATAAGTACAGCTTACGACATTTTTTCCAAGCTTTTTTTCAACTTACCTTTATAAGTTTCCTAAAATATCTTACAAAAACAGCTTATAGCATATACAAAAACTATTTTATTTTATTTTATCATTTTATATAGAAATAGTTTAGGTAAGCTTATACATAAGTGTTAAGAAATGTGGTTGGGTCTAACTCAAAGACATGTTCATGTCATATATTATCCGATGTGGGACTCTTAACACACCCCTCACGCTCAGGACAATTGAAGCGTGGAAATAAATGATGGGTGGTCCGATAACAGAAACGGTAGAAGGTGGCCCACCGGATCTTAAATGAGGCTCTGATACCATGTTGAAATACAAGAGACTAAGCGACTTTTGAATAAACCGTGTTTTTTGAAAAACACTACGGAACATTATTATATATAGAGAAATAACAACTAATTACATGATATAGTCGATGTGAGACTACTCTATATACAAATATTCTTAACACTATATTTACAAATATCTAGAGCCTGCTAAGAGACAATTCTTTCTTCGTCGTGTTTTATCCGGTTGACCCGCTGTCTTCCGTGAGAAAAAAAAATTTGCAAACCGTGTTGTCACTCCAGTTTGCCTCACTTTTCAAAATTCTCTAGTAACCACCTTGCCGCCATTGCCGCCGGTAGTGTTCCGACAAAACTTTCGGCGACGTTTCGGAAAGCCAACCCCACCATCAGTTTTCAAATATTCTCTGGTTATAACCGCATAGCCGCCGTCCGGCGTCGCTACTATTCCCGACGACCTTCCGACAAACTTTTTCACCGTCAGAAACTTCCGCACTATACTCATGGCTACTCCTCAGAACTTTACGCCAAACTACGATGGTTTTCTCAGGTGGTATCAGAATTATCATAACTCAGATTCTAATGTTACGGTAGCACACTGGTAATTCATTTGTTTGCCTCTCTCAATCATCTCCTCTTCGACCTTGGGTCTTTGATTCTAGTGCGTCTGATCATGTTACTGGTAATAAAAATCTTTTCTCTTCCCTCTCTACCTCTGGTTTCTTACCTACTATAACTTCTACCAATGGTTCTCAAACTCGATCCGAAGGAATTAGTACTATTCAAATTCTACCTTCTCTCTCTGTTACTTTTGTCCTCTATGTACCTAATTGTCCATTTAATTTACTTTCAGTCAGTCGTTTAAGTCGTTCTCTTGATTGTAGTGTCACTTACACTAACAATAATGTTACCCTCCAGAATCGGAGTTTGAGACGGACGATTGGCATCGGATATGAGTCTCAAGCCCTTTATTACCTCTCATTGTCATATCTTAGACAGGCTCAACCAAAAATTCTCCACTCACTATCCATGCTCAGTTAGGTTATCCCAGTCTTTCCAAATTACATAAGTTGGTCTCAAATTTATCGAAGGTATCTAATTTACATTGTGAGTCGTGTCAGTTAGGAAAACACACTCGTAGTCAATTTCTCAATCGAGTCAACAAACGAGCTTCGTCCCCTTTTGCTTTCGTTCACACCGATGTTTGGGGTCCCTCGCGTACTGTCTCTACTCTTGAGTCTAGATATTTTGTCACATTTATTGATGATTTTTCACGTTGCACGTGGTTATTTTTAATAAAGAATAGATCTGAATCGTTGTCTAATTTTTAACAATTTTATCGAGAAATAAGAACTCAATTCGGTGTGTCTATCCGTACCTTAAGAAGTGACAATGCCCGTGAATATTTATCCCAACAATTTCAAAATTTTATGTCACATAATGGTATTCTCCATCAAACATCTTGCCCTCACACACCTCAACAAAACGGTGTAGTCGAACGCAAAAATCGGCATCTCGTAGAAACCACTCGGATCCTACTTCTCCATGGTAATGTTCCACTTTGGTTTTGGGAGGATGTTGTGCTAACGGCATGTTACCTTATAAATCGAATGCCCTCATCTGTCCTTAACAATAAAATCTCATTCAATCTTTTTTCCCAATTCTCCACTTCACCCAATTCCTCCCTAAGTCTTCGGGTCCACATGTTTTGAACACAATCTCTCCCCTGGCCTTGATAAACTATCAGCTGGATCACTAAAGTGTGTCTTTCTTGGTATCATCGATCCCAAAAAGGTTATCGTTGTTATTCATATACTCTACAATGATACCTCATATCGGCCGATGTTACCTTCTTCGAGTCAGTTCCATATTTCGAGTCCAGCCAAGCAACTCCGGAACCCCTTCTGGAAAGTATTCTCACACCTCTTCCGGAAGTTCCATCTGCCATTGTCTCCCATCAGGAACACATGGATGTTGTTATTCGGATTCTGAGATACATCAAATGTGCTCCAGGAAAAGGTCTAGTGTATGAAGATAAAAGACATACTCAGATAGTTAGATACTCAGATGCTGATTGGGCAGAGTCACCCATTGATAGACGATCTACTTCTGAGTATTGTGTACTTGTTGGTGGAAACCTTATATCCTGGAAGAGTAAGAAACAAAACGTTGTTGCAAGATCAAGCGCCGAGGCAGAGTATAGGGTCATGGCAACGGCAACATGTGAACTTATTTGGTTAAAACAGTTGCTCAAGAAACTTCAAATTGAAGAAGCAGGAACAATGACAGTTATTTGTGATAATTAAGTTGCATTGCACATTGCATCAAATTCAGTCTTCCATGAAAGGACCAAACATATTGAGATAGACTGTCACTTTGTCAGAGAGAAGATCAAGTCAGGTGACATCGTCACAAACTTTGTCAACTCTAATGATCAATTGGCAGACGTGTTTACAAAATCCCTGCGAAGCCCCAGAACTAATTGTATATGTAACAAGCTTGATGTATTTGAATTATATGCTCAAGCTTGAAGGTGAGTGTTGAAATTTGTAAATATAGTGTTAAGAATATTTGTCTATAGAATAATCCCACATCGACTATATCATGTAATTAGTTGTAATCTCTCTATATATAATAATGTATCCGTAATGTTTTTCAAAACACACGGTTTATTCAAATGTCGCTTAGTCACTTGTATTTCAACAATAAGCTTACATTTGTTATAGAAATAGCTTATGTAAACTTATACATAAGCGCTTATATTGATATAGCACTTGTGCTATAAACTGCAAATAAGTTGTTTATCCAATCAGACCCATAAATGATACTATGAATCCATGATCAAAGCAATTATAGGATAACCAGCACGTCTAAATACGTGCTGCCATAATTAACAAAATGAAGGTGCTAGAAGAGTGGAGGTTGCAACAAAGGCAGCCTAAGTTTCGGCAATTAATAGGGCTAGAGTAAACTGCATCAAGGCAAAATTTCCAACACTCTGCCAGCGACCATAACATTCTCAAAGCTTAAACCCTTAATCAATGGCCGAAGAACAGATGTTATCACCTTTCACAAAAAAGAAATTTCTGGCAAAACGGTTTACCTGTTTATGTGCACACCGATGATTAAGTACAACATCTCCCAAGACCTATTTAAAGATAAAACATAGTAAAATCATGATGCATAAGAAGTCAAACAGTAAGAAGAGACTTATAACTATTTGTCCCATAGAAATAGTTTAACTATTTAAATCCATATATGCAACAGGGAAACTGATAAAAAAAGTATATAATCCCTTACATACAAATGAAATCAAGTAAAATCGTCAAAACGAATTCTTTGCAGCACTATGCACTAACTGGAATGTTTGTTGCGTTTTTACTCAAAAGAAAAAGGTACTTAACTACTCTCGATAAGTCTCTTAACATAAGGATTTGAATACTTATAATTCTTCCTACCACCTAATATTTTAAAATAATGATTTCAATTAATCCCATGATTATTCAGATCAGTTTTCTTTTTAGTGATTCAAACCACATAATTTAACAAAGAAGTTCTTATTCACAAACGAAATGTAAATTTATGCTTTATATTATTTAAGAAAAAATATAGTTACTTTTGGATGTCTCAAAGCCATTAAGTTTGAGATTATTGTAAAATTTGAAGAAAATAATTGCTTGAAATACGTCTTCAGATATTCATTTTTTATGTGATTACCAGCACAACATACCAGCAGATCTTGAGAATGCAATTCCTCTATACAATGTTTAAGTTCTTCCATAGAACCATAGGATGAATTCAAGTTGTAAAGATCAGAAGGCATGTAACCTGCATATAGTGTATATTGTTCATAAATGCATACGACAGTTCAATCATATATTAGTTCATAAAATAAACTTTTTAGCATTAAATTGAAGAAGATTCTCTGAGGAAGAAAATTAAAAACACCACTATATCAGTTATCTTGTGAAGAGAAAGTATGAGAAAACATTTATCCTTAAATCAGATATTGTGAGAAGTTGAATTTTACATTTAGTTTCAAATTATAGAAGTTATTCAATGCACAACTGTCATTTTTCAGCATATAATGGATCTGTGATTATCTTAGATTATGCATATTATTGGTACCCCTTTTTTCAAAAAGTTGCAATAAAATAATAAAATATAAATTGAAAATTCTTTGGATATTCTCTTTGATGAAATGAAAATATCAAACAGTTTAGTGGCACTATCAAATATAAGGTAGCCATACCATGCATAACTTAGAAGATGGCTAGAATATAAGTATTGCAAAGGAATTAGCTCAGAAAATAAAATAAAATAAAACATAAATAAGTGGGGAAAATCTAAGAGAATCTGAGACAAAACTTTTATTTAATCATGTGAAATTCAAAAATTATCTTCTACTACTGAGAGCTGAAATATATGTAACCCAATGCATCAAATTGAAGATACAACAACATTGCAGATCAGTCACCATGATTAAAATTCTGTTGTGACAAACTGTAACAAAATACAACTAACAGCAGATAACAGGATTGCTAGCTAGCACACAGCCAACACTCCAATAACAATGCAACAGTAACCAAAGTTTCTTAACAGTGACAGAATAAGCACTGATACTATTATGCATCCTAGAAAGAAGAAAGCATGTCAAACCTTGAGGGGCAACGGATTCTGTTGGTGGCGGCAGCCACACTGCAGTCACCCCGCATTTAGATAAATCAGCAGCTTTAGATGCCATCTCCTGGTACCAGTGCCTTCTCCAGCTCTCCCAGTTAAATCCTTGAAACTTGAGAAAAATAAAATTCAAGAGTTAATTTATTTATTTTTCTCCCCCTTTTAATTGTACCATGCTTATATATGCATTAGATAATGCATATGACAAATACTTGTAATATCCAAAGTTAACGAGCACCAGTAGACATGATCATGCAGATAAACAATGCATGTCTTACAATGAAACACTACTTGATGAAATGAAAAGTAAATTAGTTCAAAACATTGATAAAAATAGGATATAGTGCACAAGCTCTAAATGCTTCATGTTCTGCATTCACAATACAGCATTTGATTGTCTGGTGTATCAATTCAAAATATGATTATTGCATAATCTTACATATTTTTTATTGTCACAGAAATATTTTGTTTCTAGTCCGAGGAAGAACATGATAAAGAACATGTATAACCCACAAAAATCATCAAGATTAGAACCTCCAAAGATAGAATGGCACACAATTCATCAAGAATCTGGTCAATAAGAAAACCATCAACATGATTTTCTTGATTGAAACTGCAAGCCCAAATTTCAAACTACAAGATCCTATTAGAAGCATAACTTGAAAAACCAATATGAAGCAGTGCTTCAAACATTATGCAACAGTCATACTTTGGACCACTAGAACAACAATTATATCAAAAGTAGCATAAAGAACATTTAACAAACTCGGACACGAGTTCAGAAGCAGCCAGGCATCATATTAATGTCAACTAATTCCGCCAATGAGTGATGACATCTCATGCACTTAAAAAGTAAACTACAAGCAAAAGGCATAATCATGAATAGCATTTAGCATTCATAATAAGACGTTAGAATTTTTACCAGTAGGTCAAGGAATATACCCCGACCATTTAACAGAAGGGATCGCCAAGCTATAAATGTTTCAAAATATTAAGCAAAAAATACAATGTAAAAATAAGCTGGTCCAAGAAAAGTTAAATTGAATAATGATAGGGAAGAGAGGGAGACTATAGAGAGAGAAGAATAGAAAGTAGAGATAAGGAAGGAGTATTTTATTTATTCAACAAAAGCATGCATTGAATGGTTATTTTCCAACTATATTTAACTGTCTAAGCAGTTATAACAACCCAATAACAGCTGTATACACTAATACATGCATCAAATAACAGTTGTATACACTAATACATGCATCAAATAACCTATTTGACTCCCATCCAAACGCAAACAGTTTATTAAACTCAAGTATTTATCACTTCAATTTATTCTTATTAAAAAAGCTAATTGAGTTGTTAACTCAATCTTCCTTAAGAAAAAAAAATCATAAACAAATGTTAATAAGGTTATTCCAAGGTTTGAACCCAGTAACTCCAGCTAAAACTCCGTTGATTTTTCTTAGATCACAAATTGGGCTACCTACTTCGAACAAACGTCTTTAACCTCAATATTTGTACATAAAGTATGAAGGGGGAAATGGTTGATGTTATTCTTCAAAATACAAAACATAAGTTCAATTATGTCAAGCACACATGTTTCTTCTTGACAAACTTGAAGTTATTCCACGGACAAAAGGGTGCCTCAGAACAAAGGCATACCGTTTAAGAACTCCCAAAGCTGCTGCATCAGGCAACACAACAGATCCCATTTTATGCTTGTAAAATGTAATTACACAATCATTCCTATACCATCTTACCATATTCTATCATCATAGTAAATATAGGTGCACGTTGATTTGGCGGAATCGCATCGAACCATATTGATTTTAACAAAATCTATTTGCAGAGCTTCTACAAAATCATGCTGACACTGCAATTTAACCAAATTCACTGCGAATCCAACTTTCACTAAATAATGATAGCAAAAGCTGAACAAATAATAATAGCAAAAGCTGAACGCAACAATATTTAGGACCTGTTTGGATGAACTTATTTGAGATTATCTACTGCCATAAGCTTTGAGACACTGTTTGGGAGAATTATGTTTGAATGTCATAAAATGAACAATGCGGAATGGAGCAGACCGGAGTAAAATGAAACAGAATGGAGCAAAATAGAATGGTGCGGAGCAGAATGAAGATTTCATTCCATCAAACAAAGAAAAAGTGATGGAATGAAATGGAACTCATACCACTCAATTCCACTCCGCTCCATGCTATTTTAAATAATCCAAACAATGAAATATCACACCATTCCATCTCATACCGCTCAGCTTCATCCGAATCCAAACAAAGCCTTAATTAAAATAGCTTATGAGATTTTTCATAAAAAAATTTAACTTATTTTTATAAATTCTTCAAGATAGTTAAGTCAATAGGTATTTAATTAGTACCAGAATGAAACAAGAATAAAATCATGCATTACAAAAACTATTAGTACCAAAATGTATACAACACATTACAAAAACTAAATTCGCTTGGATAATTGCACATCCCATGCATTAATTTTTACAGAATAACCCTCCCCGTCCCACAGAACTTCTAGTTTTTTCCAGCTAGGTCCTGACATGGCTGCTGTTTGCGACAACACGCCTTCGGCGTTAGAAGTGCATTTCTTTACCTTTACCTTAACTTTTCCATCGGTTAAGGTCAATCTTGAAAGGCTTTCCCAATAGAAAGCAGGGTCTACAATAAAATTAATCCAGTTTGGGAAAAAAGTGATCCTAAACGATCTTTTTTTGACCGCTTTTTTGACCGCTTTTTTTAGAGCTTTCTCAAAATCTTTTGAGATTTCATCTGAAAGGATAAAGTTCCGAGCGGTTTTATTCTCAGTTCTCACAACTGAAAATGTAATTCGCTCTTCTGCTGTCTTCATGAAAATAATCTGATCTCCTTCCGCTAACTTCTTCTTTAACACAATATCCATCCAGCCCCCCCAGTGAGATAGTAACAGTTCCTGGTCTTTGCTCTTCTATGTTTCACGACCCATTCCCTACCAGATAAATCACTTACAGTTACTGTAGCCACGGACTCCCCACCATTGTGGAGAGGGAAAACCTTAACAGAATCATTATTTGGCAAGTATAATCTCTTCTCTGTAAGGTCCGATGCGACCAAGGATCGGCTGAATACTCGGCTTGGCTGTTGAACTCCTTCAAATTTATCAAACTGAGCTGGAATTGACGGAACGGATTTAAGCCTTATCTTTGCCAGTAACCCATCATGAATAGGATCCGCAAGATATTTAATTGATTCAATTTTACAAAGAATCGCACGAGGGATTGAATCCTCTTTATCACTTCTGGGCAAACACAGGTTTTCACGATGTCCTTCCGGAAAATAATACACCAGAGCCCCTACCTCAGCCTTGAAGGGTAAATAACCTGAACCTATACTCCAATTGGGTTCTTTTACCCTTGCAAACTCCGGGAAACCGGCCATGAGAAAGTGACTGTTAGGGCAGAAAAGAAAGTGATGGTTAGGGCGGAAAAAAGAAAGTGACGGTTAGGGCGGAAAAAAGAAAGTGACGGTAGGGCGGAAAAAAGAAAGTGACGGTAGGGCGGAAAAAAGAAAGTGACGGTAATCGGGGAAAAAAGAAAGTGACGGTAATCGGGGAAAAAAGAAAGTGACGGTAATCGGGGAAAAAAGAAAGTGACGGTAATCGGAATGCGTGAGGGTGTGAGTGTGACAAAAGGAAATGGAAATTGTTTTTAAACCAGCTATGTGTTAGAATGATATTTAACTATGGTTTCAAAAAATTACCAAAACACAAAATAAATTTAAAATGATTTATATTTTTTTAATAAAATACAAAATAAATTTAAAATGTCTATAATAGATGAACTTCCATCCCCATCTCATAATTTTCATTATCATTTCAATTTAATTTAAATATTTTAACCTAAACTAATGTTAAGAATATAATATGATTATTTCTTTGAGTATCAACCTAAATTAACATTAATAGTTCTATTTGACCGATTGTATTCCTTCTTTTTCATTATTATTTAGATTTTTTTTAGTTATGAATGATTCTTTCAACACAAGGACAAATTTAACATTGCTAATTACTAATACTACTTTCATACTTTTGAGGAGAATATAACTAACATTGTTGAAGATTTATTATTTATTTTTTTCAGTACATTATTATTATTATTATTATTATTATTATTATTGTTATTATTATTATTATTATAATTGTTATTATTATTATTATTATTATTGTTAGAAAGATCTTTGTATAATCATTGACTATTACTTAGATATAAACTTTTCTTTGACAAATTCCTAAAAAGAAAGGGATCAAGAGATCAAACAAACTTGGTAGACAAAATAAGTGACAATATGAATAATGAATCAACAAAATATCTTCTTCTTTCTACCTTGAAGGCGTCCTTTTGGTCTGCTGATATCTCTTCCGCCTCGATAACTCTTTTGCCATTTAGAGTAAACAACAGCCAGTATACATCTTCCTGCAGAATAATACCTCGAGTTCGTCTAATTCCCAATCAAACTCACAGAAGACCTGCAACAAGCAATATATACATAAGTTGCTTATAGAACAAAGGGTAATTTAAATATTTATAAAGAACATTTACATAGCCATACTGTAAGAAGAAAAAATATATCCCAAACAATCCAAAGACTGTCAAACCTATAAGATATTACTTAAACCATAATTACCGGTTTTGGCACAACTGGATAGATTATTGGAACCTCAGTGCTCTGTTCAAACTCATCTTTCTTAAAGGGCTGATAGAAATCTATGGAAAAAATAGCACTCATAAGTAACTATCTTAACAAAAACATTTAAATGATGACAGTAGTAACAAAGTTCAGTGAACAATTGTTTTTAACACTAACATTTTCTCTAATACAACCAAGTTAATGACATACATGTGGCTTGAGACTATAAGGTACGATGTGAACACAACTGAGTCGAAACAACAACGGATAAATAAAACTACAAAATAAGTACCTAAATAGTTACCTTTTTAGGTACTTATTTATTAATCTGTTCAATTAATAGCAATGATGATATCGGGAATTCTTCGAACTTCTCTACGAT